AAGGTTTATCGAAGCATCTCGTATAAGAAATCTGAACTTTGGTAAGAAAGTCAATAAGTATTAATTTCTAGAAGTCCAACTTATTTATGGGTACATGTCAAAGCTAATGGGAGCATGAGTGTTATGCTAATAAGAATGTAATTATTATGCTAGTGGGAGCACAATTATTACGTTAAGTGTTGCGAGTTAGCAATGTTAATTATAGAAAACACAAGTTTCAGTTCGCAAAGTTGTAGAGTTTGAAACGTTGTTTTGCTATAATTAAAGGAGAGGAATTTATACTTTATTTCGAATCTAAAAGTTTAGATTTAAGTATCAATCAAGCTTAGTCATGAACATATATGAATATCAGGTTGACATGTTTCAACATTGAAAATTCTATATGGAAATATTATAGCAAGAGACTGGTCAAATATCATGTCTTTATGTAAGACATTATGAATCGTATCCCTTATGCTTAAGGTATAGGATCGATTGCATATGCTGTAATATTTTCGTGTTCTAATTTTTCAAATGCCAAGAACATTAATAGGACTAGAACCAGATATGACTAAAGTTATTAAACAACTGTCAAGGACGATCTAAGGTTCGCTAAGGATTGATCGCTTGTAGTTAGAAGCATAGTAATGGATGGACCATATTGACATTGTTATGAATAGACATGATTATATTAATAATGAGTTTTCATATGGCAAATATGGAAATGTTTCCATAATGGGAGTTGTATATTAAGAATCTATGTGTAGATTAGTAACTTTTATGCAAGAAGGATGTTCAAAGGAATGTACTTTGAAATTGAGACTTCGCTTCCATGGAGTTGTTCTTGTGATAGTCTCCAAAGGAATACTTTGTAATATCGTTGGCAAAGTCCCTACGACTTCTGTACCTCGACATTACGAAAGGAATCATTGCACAATAGTTTAGAATCTGACACATTCTAATAGTGGAAAGAATTTGGCATTCTTACACTTGTGATAATGATTTGGAGTTGTGAAATTAGTTTCTTTGAAGATGTATTCAATTGATCTATTTCACAAAAATGACCATAGGTAAACATAGTGTGCATGCTTGGAGCATGGGATAACTATTGTTTTAATTCAAGTATAAAGTTGATAAATCGAAACATTATACAATGAATAATGTGTAATGAACATGAATAAAAGGCGTTTTATTTATATTCAAAAGTTTTGAGACTATATTGGATTTAATTATTCTTGTGTTTCACTTTGCATGATTTGATTTCCCAAATAATAAAATTTTTCAAACTATCCACAGTCGATCATACTTTGGAAGTAAGTATTGAAGCTAGACTGTCATAAATGGGTCTGTAGATTATCTAAAGGTGTTTAGACATAACACAAGTTTGTTGCAGTATTCATGAGTACTCCTGTAATAAGATTTGAGTATTGGATTAAACCTATGCTCATTTGAATCACATCATGGATTTTATCACGAGTGGTCATGAGACAATAATATCTTATATTCTTGAAACGGAGAGGTATGAATTGTAGTTTACAAGTCGGTTGCACATTGATGATATGTAAACACACAAGTAACTCGGTGTTATAAAACGTGTCATTGTGTGTGATTTGATGAGTAAATAGAACCAACACATGAGTCGAATTTTATTCATTCTTTTTACCCAATGTGGGATAAAAGAGATATATGTGGGCCCCTCGATGATTTAGTGATGACAACCTTAAGTACTCGGCCAAGCTTGGACTGATTTGATTTGTTCAATTTGTCAGTCGTCATAAATCGGAAATCGGAAACCAACACATGAACATAGAGTATGATTATAATTCATGTCTCAGTTCATATGATATCCAGAATTGAGGAATATATGATACCTTATCTAATGGACGCCCTACTAGTAAGATCAGAGTTCGACAACGGTATTTTGAGAGCTACGATTGCTAATCAAAATTTGAATTCATACTTCAATTATAGTTATTAGACTTATCCAAGTGGGAGACCGTTGGATTAGGTGTCTAAGCCCATAACTATAATTGGTATGTACTTGATCCGATACAAGCATAGTCCATTTGGGTTGCAACACTTTGGAACAATTTGATAGGATAGATATTTGAGAAAGAGGTTATATGTGATTTTTTTTAATATAAGCATAATTTATTAATTGAGAAATCACATTATTTAATTAGTATTGATCAAGAATTAATTTGGAATTAATTTAGTGATCAAAAGAGACTAATTAAATTAAAGGGGACTGATTATGTAAACCAGTGATACATACGGTTTGGGCTATTGATCCATGATGGACTAAGTTTGTGTGAGAGTCCATGAAGAGTTAGTCCATATGTGTTATGGATCATAAGCCTAAGTGTAAGAATTAGTGTATGCTTATGACTCTTGGATTCTATACTATATAAATGTAACCCCTAAGCCAAAAATGGTGCACTATGTGTTCCTAAAAGTCCTAGATGATTTTTGTGTCTCCAAACCTCTCTCTCAAGTTCCTTCACTTTTCTTGGTTTGTTGTAATACATTTGAGGCATCATACTTGAGGTGTAACGCTCTTGAAAGACCAACTTCTTCAAGCTACAACAAAGAGGTAATATTCTAACTTACTTTTATGATTTATATGTCAAATTGTATGCTAGTTGTAGGCTTCATGCTTTGGAAAATTTTGTTGCATGTATAACTAGAGAAAACTTATATTTAAAGCTATTAGGGTTGTATGTGCACCATATGAATGTTATAGTACATAAAACCTAACAATTTTATCTAACAATCAACCAATTTTAATTTCGGTTTCTGTGTCTTACACTACTATACCGAAACTTTGAAAAATCATAAATTTCTCATATGAAGTTAGATTTAGACTTTCTTTATATGCCCGAGTTTGCCTTTTTGATTAATACAAATTTCATCAAGACTAATTTTCCTAAACAGTCTTTTATCAAAAACTTATATTCACTTAACCGGTCGTTAATATTATAAGTTGAAAATAGAGTGTTACAATAACAAGAAAAAGGGGAAAGATACAGAGAGATTAAGAGAGACATAGAGAGTGAGTGAGAGAGAGAAATAGATACATAGATAGATATATATATATATATATATATATATATATATATATATATATATATATATATATATATATATATTTCTATTTTATAACTAGTTATAAGAAATAAATAAACCAAAGGCGTCTATCATTTAGAAGTGGTAATTTTTTTATTGCATAATAATTAAGGGGAATCTCCAGAAAAGTCCTTAAATTTTAGTCTGGTTTATGATAAAGCCCCAAACTAAATTTTGTTTATAGAAAAGCATAGAATACTGGTTAAAACTTTGAAAAAACCCTTTTCGGTCGGTTTCACAGATTTAGCTGGAATTTTGTCATTTTTCGTTAGTTTGTTCAAAATTTTGGGACTTTTCCGGAAATTACCTGATAACCAAAATATTGGGACTATTCTGAAAATTACCATGGAATTGATGAATATTATTATTAACAAATCATTTATAAACATAACAAATATTTTTATTACAATAGTAAATACACTTGTTGCATATTTCTAGGAATAAATTGGTGGTCTAAGTACTCCTCTATTGCTTATTGACCACATCAAACTCTCTACGTCCTCCGATGCATCGTTGTGGGTATGATGGTGAGATGTACTCAGTGAGTGTTTCTCTAATGTGGGTGTTCCTCTTATATTGTTTAACCTAACTAGCACCTAACATCCATACCTCACATGGTAACAACCATAGGCTAACATACATCTATAAAATGTGAAAAAGTGAATTCTGAATGATAGTTTATATGGAAACAAGTAAACGATGATTATCTATTTAAATTTTCTTTCAAAGTTTACTTTTTACTATGTGTGTAATTTGATGGTTGTTACCGATTAATGTATAGAGGTTATGTGGTATTTAGATTAAAGAACATAATGAAAGATTTATATGTTCAAGAATCATTGTGTAATGATATTTTGTAATAACATATGATCCTATAGCGTCACACCTAATAGCAAGTAGACACTTATTGATTATGTATTAAGAAATATTATCAACTCTTGTATTTAATTGAAGAAACATATATAATACATCTCAGTATGACACCCACAACGATACATAGGAGAACTTTGGGAGTTTGAAGTGGTTAGCAAACAATAGAGGATTACTTAGTCGACCATTTTATTCTTAAAAATTAGAAACAAATGTATTTCCTTTGTTTATAAAAAATATTTGTTATGTTTATAAATGATTTGTTAATAATAATATCCATTAATTTCATAGTAATTTTCAAAAAGTGTCAGTATTTTGGTTATTGGGTAATTTTCAAAAAAGTTCTAATATTTTGAGCAAACAAACGAAAAAGGACAGAACACCGGTTAAATCTACGAAACCGGCCAAAAAGAGTTTTTTCGAAGTTTTAGTCAGTATTCTGTGTTTTTCTATAAACAAGATTCAGTTTAGGATTTTTTTTTTTTTTTTTATAAATTAGACTAAAAGTTTTGGACTTTTCTTGAGATTTCTCAATAATTAATAATAAAATCTAATAATTATTGCACCGTAATAAAACTATTCACCAAAAAAGTTATTTATCACTACGACTTTGTGTGGACACACATCTAGTGTGTGTGTGTGTATATATATATATATATATATATATATATATATATATATATATATATATATATATATATATATATATATATATATATATATATATATATATATATATATATATAGTCATACAAAATGAATACAAAAACAAGTTACCTAAATATATTAAGAGTTAAATTGTACAATCATACCAAAGTAATTCAATAAACTATATATATAGCAATTACAAAGGAACCACTTGCAACTATTTCCTTTGTCTTTACCAAGGATCTACATCCGTTGACATTTTGTTTGCCAACTCCAATGAACTCGATATTAGCAACTTAACAAAACCATGCATGCACTAGGCGCCATCTATTAGTCCATAAGCTTAATAATGCCTTAGATATATATTTGCACTAACGTTACAAGTCAGAAAAGCATCCAAAAAGGTGGCTGGTTTGATCACTAGAGTCGAATTCATTGTTATCATGATTGTGGGCGATCAATGGCATGGTTGAATAGGGAAACGAGGAGGGTTTGTTTAATTCGGACCCAAGTAAATTTTCTATGTTCTTCCAATCATTATCATAGTGGTTAAAATCAATTCCACTCTCATAGTCATGATCTTCGTTTGTTGCAAAGCTTCTTGAAGCTGAAGGACTATCGATATTTGAATGTTCAAGTAGGAAGTGATTTGCAGAAAGTTGTTGATCTTGATCATTTAAGGGTAGTTTATGTGATACCATGGATTGATTTGAGTGGAGGGATTGGGAGGAATTAAATGTATCATTAATCGGTGGAAGTGGTCTAATATTATTGTTGTTCCGAATGTAGTAACCATTGTTCCAGGGTTCAAACCCTTGTTTTTGAACTGGACTTGGTTTCTTGAACGCCCGACAAACCACCCAGCCTTCTTCCTGAAATTAATAACATAAAAGAGTTGAGTTTTGATTTAAAGGTCATACACGATATTTAAAGTCTTTTGCATGTGTTTTCTAATGCACATCCATTTTTTATAATGTTGAAAAAAAGATAAATCTTGGTATACAATTTGTTGAAAATTATCTCAAAAAAATAGAAAGAGAATAACGGTCCCATCAAATGTCACCCGTAGGTTAGCCACTTTTAGTGGCAAAAGTAGTGGGGTTTCACGAGTTTAAAGTAGGTGCATGCTATCAATTAAGAAGGAATATTGACACTTTAGGAAGCTTTCACATTCAAAACAGCAACCTACGCTATAGTCAATAGCTACCCACTCGATCAAAGACAAAAAACATGAAAACAGCATGCTTTGTCTTCACTGTTTCCATTATCCTAAACAAAGACCTAGAACAGAAAAAAAAAAAAAAATCTAAAGGGTTGACTGATCAGGACTCAACATATCTATTTGTTTTCTTGGTGTTTTTTCACAACATTGTGTTTATTTTTAGTTAAAGGATTAATTAAAGGGTCAATGTAAAGTACTTGCCTGAACGGGAGCATTGTGAGACGATTGGAGGCGATATTCGTGCATAATCCAGTCACTTTTCCGGCCATTGGGTGCACGTCCGTTGTAGAAAACAAGGGTTTTTCTCATTCCGATGATCCTGTCTTTTGATAGCACCGCCTTGTCTCTTCCTGTTGCCTTCCAGAAGCCGGCTGAGGTAGCTCTATTGGTCCGTGTGCCTGTAGGGTACTTTCTATCTTTGTGACTGAAGAAAAACCACTCGTTTTGTTCTTCGTATCCTAATTTGCACCTCCCTAAGTTTGTATTAAACAACAAAAAAAAAGAAGTAATTAAATTGCCATTTGATATAATATGGTATAGTATTGGTTGAAAACACTGATCATGTGTATGATGTACGTTTTTTTATAGATTATAATATATATCTAATCAGGTAATTAATTATTGTGTATGAGAAAGAAAATTGTGATGTACGTGGCTAAGTTAGATCATTCAAAATGCTTTAAATATATAGGTAAAATTTAATGAGTCTTATTGAATAGTAAGAGGGTGACATAGAATTTATTCAAAAAGAGAGTTTTATTAACCCAAACCTACTAATTAGATTAGCAACTCGGTGTTAGCCTCAAGGGGCTAGTTCCAACTTATATGCATGGAATCATGTTACTTTTTTTTTTTAAAAAAAAATTCAACAATAATGTATTGATAACTAGGTGTCAAACCCGTGTATTACACGAATCGATTTAAAAAAAAAAGATTAAACAATAAAGTGTAAACACAAAATATTTTTTAATGTACAACTTTAAAATAAGAAAAAAAAACGTATTTATTGCAATTTAATATCATATATATGATGCTTAATACTTTACATATATAAGTATATGATTTTAATTTTAAAAATTGAAACAAATAAAAAATTGACAAGTGAATAATATTTATTTCAAAAATACCACAAAATGATAAGTATCAAAATTCATAACAGATTTACATGTAGCAAAAAAACCTTCAATAAATAGGATACTTTTAATTTCAATTTATCAAACATAAAAAAGGTATAACTCAACAATGTATGAACCATATTTTACTTTCATTATCCAAAAATATAAAATAAAATATTGTTTTATAATATTTAACTTTTTTGGGGTATCTATAGCACTAGCTATTTAAGTTATTAAATAATTATGTATAGTAATAGTTAAACTGTTATATGTTTTAGTTATCACACTTCAAAATTTTATGGAGTTCATTTTGTATTAATTAAGAATATCATTGTATATTATATTTAATTTTTGATTAATAAATTTGAAACTTGGGTATTATTTAAATATTTTTTTATGCAATGGTGTGATAAAGTTTCATACGTTATAGGGGTTGAGAGATAAAGTTTACCAGTAAATTGTTACGAAATTAACTGTGTAAGCACATTTGCATAAATAAAATAACGCGTCTCTTTGTGACTTTCAAAAACTGAGACTAATTAAAGTGTAAGAACGTGTCACAAATTGCATTGGCTATATGATTTGCAGCAAAAAGAATTTTCCTCCATTTTACGTAAAGCAAAGTAGGGATATGATATTATTGTTTAGTGACAATGCTGTCAATTCTTTACATGTTTATGGGTTAAATGAAAATGACCTATTTTCATGTAATGATTTCATGTTGTCTGGAGTGGATTACCTTCAATATCCCAAGGCTCCATTCTGTAAAGATCAATGTCAACAATAACATCAAGATCTATTTGCAGCGACTCGACTTTCCTTTTGAGATAGTATCCCACGAGTTCTTCCTCCGTAGGATGAAATCTGAACCCTGGAGGAACACATGATGACTCCAACTCCATCTATCGATTGATCAATTATTCTCTTGATCCTTCTATAAAATAAAATGCAGGAAATAAATTAGAAACTGTATCTGCTCACCTTGGAACAAAGAGAGAACAAGAGGTGGTATATATCCATCTTATATAAGATCTAATATAATAGATAGATCGCACATATGGTGAATCGTGAACTACAAACTTAGTAGCCAACTATGGTTGTTACAAATAATTCAGAACCACTCGTGAACAAAAGACCTTATGATTATTATATCATGTGGGACCTATACCAAAGTGTCTTCGTTGTAAAAGGACAAGAAAAATATAATTTGATGTGGTAGTGGGGCCCAGGAAGCAACATAGAAAGAAGGTAAACATACGACATAGAGTATATATGTAAGATAAGCCCAAAACATTGACTTTTTTGTTTATAAACAGAAGGGAATAGAAGGTAGGCATGTTATGGTTTCTTTGAGTGCATTCCACTCCATGTTTCCTCATCATAAGGTCATGGATAACCCCACTCCACCCCCCATACTCTCCCTATATATCTAAGACCCTTATTATAAACAAAAATCACCATAACCAAGATAAACCATACCATTTCTCTCTCTTAAACCTATAATTCAACACTTTTCATAACCATAATTGGATTGGTTATTCACTTATTGTGTTGTGAGACTCATTCTCATGTTCCAATGGCAGTTGAAAACAAATAAACCCCATGAAAAATGATTAATATATATAGAGATTGTCAAACAGATGGATCACATATTCACATTCTATTCGTGCCATTTAATTATGTCTCTCTTAACCACTAAAAGCATGCATGTTCCTACTTATAAGATAAGGTTTGAATCCAGAAGCAGACATGATCAAGATAATAAACGCAATGGAATATACATCATATATATCATAAGTATACGTAGATGGAAACCACGTTTTCAAGAAAGCATAATTATTAAATAGAAGTTTAGAACCAGTTTGAAACCAAGAAATATGAATGGGTTTTAATATGCTACAATAATTGTTTTCAATTAGATCAAACCTTCCAAAAAGAAATACCAACGACAATCAAGTACAAGACCCCTGGGTTTTAAAGCTTCGAGCTCAAGGTAAAGCTCATATATTCATATACATTGATTTGAACCAGAATTCTAAAAAGAAACTGACCTTTTTTGTCTGTTGGTATAAAAAGAAACGACCACCGCGTACGACTTAAGATGAGTGGTTTTGCTAGGGTCAAAAAATGTTTTGATTAATTGTCTTGATATTTGCGCCGGAAACGGATGTTAAAGTTCGGTGGTATCTGCAAAGTTGAAGATGATCGAAGTATGCTGCAAGAGGGTACATAAATTACACTATATATACAGAGAAAGAAAGAGAGAGACAGAGAGAGATTGCGCGTGGGGGCAGGGGGTGGCAATGTGGCATTATGGATGAAAGGTCTGTTTTGGACGGCATGACAACATATTTTCACGCCACCCTCTACCGTTATTTTGTACTTTAAGGTTTCAGTCACCATACATATTTCTATCTAACTTAATTCAAAAAAAAAAAAAAAAAAAATCTTTTGACACTTAGATTAAAGCCTTTCAAATTGCGTTATAGAAGCTTTAAGGGTTGAGGTGCTAAAATTTACACATGAGTTTTAGGATTTAAAATCTAGGACACCTAAAATATAGCTAATGTTCAACGAATGAACTTCCATATAAACTTTGAGTCGGGTTGATGCCTCACAAATTATATTATTTACAATTTTTATAAGTTTTTGAAATTTATTCTTAGTTTTTTTTTAACAACCACCTGATAATTATATTAAAAGGCAACAATGAAATATCTCAATGCTTGTCTTTCTCATTAATAATTAGGGTATTTATACGACATGTTAATATTATATAATAGAAACATAGATAAACAATAAATACATCAAATACAATATGATAATAACATTAATAGTCCCTACAGTTGTAATAGGCAGTTTTTGAATGCTGAGACTATCTAAACAATTGTCAAAGAAAAAGCGATGTTAGCCTTTAGTGAAATACCGACAAGCTGATAGCGTGATTGAACGTGCAAGACACAAATTTCAACGCAAGTGACCATTTTCCGAGTGAAGTGGATATCCATTTTGAGGAGTGGAAACATATTTAGAGAAGTCGATCTTCGTGTATCAAACATCCCCTAATTTGCTTCAGTGTATACGATGTAAGGAGTGGAAACATATTTAGAGAGGTGGGAATCAAAGGAAGGTGTACCTTGTAAACGTTGATGATTTGTTTTGCTAATGTGATTTAAGTGTAATGAGATTATTTTGTGTGACAAAAAGTGATCTTGATAAATATTAAACAAGTAAGGAAGGTGTGAAGTGCACACATGTTTAAATTTATTCAAGATTAAAAGTAGACTGCTATTTAGGAGCGAAGCCCCTGAACGAACAAGGGTCCGGGGGCAGCGCTCCTAGGAGTAGGGTCGAAGGGGCAGAGCCCCTGGCTGGGATCGAGCTGCCATGGCAGCGTAATTTTTTTTATTTGGGTTATATTACTATATTGAAAATGCATCAGAAATCCAATTTTAGAATATTTGATTCGTTTTTTTGGCTTGGTATTAATCCTTATAGAAAATCCAGATTTATGACAGTTTTTTTGATTGTTGCCAAAATGTTTTATGACAGTGTTGACAGTTTTCAGACAAAAGAGATATTTAACCAATTTTGGTCAGTTTTTTCTGGTACTCACGAAATTCATATATCTCATTATCTGTTCTTTTCTCTTCTGAGTCTTATCCAATCAAAGATTAAGGAGTACCATCCAAAACTTTGATTTGATAGTGAAATCACAATTCTCAGAATTTCCAACGCTATTATTATCCCATTTTCTAACAGTAAATATAAGATTTTACATTTAATCAAGACATTATATCATAGCGAAGTAGATCATGCATATGAAGACAAACTTATGCATTGTGTATATAAGATGTAGGGTCAGATGAATGTTAGATATTGTAGGCGGTTGGAATACTTTGATATTAGGTAGGTTAGGAAAAGGGTTCATCAAAATTTGAATTTAATTTTGCGTTGGTGTCGACCAATATTTGTATTGCATTATAATCACAATTAATATAAACGATGACTGAACGGAGTAATATTTATAACTAGGTTCTTTTAATAGAAAAAAAGCTGAAGTGTTATTTGGAGAGCATACTTAACTAAAAGTCTTTCACCTTTTATCAGGTGTGTAACGTCTCAAAAAGTAAGACTAAAATTTTCATTTTTAAATTAATAAAACTATTATCCAAAAATCATCATAGAAATCACGGTGAATCAAAGTGTATCAATAACATCCCAATACATCAGAGTAATATAAAATGTGGAAAGAGGTGGTGTGCGCACTCCAATCATCTTGAACTCTTCCCATTCGAACAAGAAGTACCTGAAAACATAAACTAAAAACCGTAAGCACAAAGCTTAGTGAGTTCCCCAAAGTACTACATACCATACATAATAAACATATAATAGGCCCCGCCCGATATACATATAAACGCATAACACATGCAATTAATCACAAGGATAAATAGCATACAGAATGGTCATCGGGCTCCACCCGGTAATCATATAAACACATAACATATGCAAGAGTCACACATCCATCTAGCATCCTAAACATAACAAACCATGGGCCAACATTGGTGCATTCGACCCGCTAAATCGAACCCACTCCGTGCGTGCAGTCCGGGGCAACTTCGTAATGAAATCCATGGTAATCTCCTCCTATTTCCAAACGGGAATATCTAATGGCTACATCTTATCGTGAGGTCGTTGATGCTCGGCCTTGACTTTCATGCAAGTCAAGCACCTCTCCACATACCAAACTACATCCCACTTCACGCATGGCCACAAATAATCAGGAAGAAGATCTTTATACATCTGCGTCGTCCCGGAATGAATGGAGAATCTTGATTTGTGCACCTCCTCCATCAGAACCTGAAGCACACCATCCTAATACGGAACCCACACTCTCCGATGCAGAGTCAATAACCCTCAGCTATCATAATCAAAGGAAGCCACCTGATCCACTATGCGCTTACTCTTCCGGTGCTCTTCCTTCATTGCTTCAACCTGTACGGCTGTGCACCTCGAATCCGCTCCAAAAGTGGAGTAATCTCTGTCATCCTCAAACAACTATCCTTGATCGGAGCCGTAACCACCTTGTGCCTAAGAGCATCGACCACTACATTGGCCTTCCCTGGATGATAAAGGATCTCACAATCATAGTCCTTCACCACATCCAACCACCGATGATGCTTTAAGTTTAGATTCAGCTGATCTATCAGATACTTCAGGCTCTTGTGATCTGTGTAAATAGTACAACAGAACACATAGAGGTAATTTCTCCAAATATTGAGGGAGAAAACCACAACCCCCAACTCTAAATCATGTGTCAGATAATTTTGCCTCATAACATTTCAGTTGCCTCGAAGCGTAAGCGATCACGTGACCCCTCTGCATCAGAACTGCACCCAAACCCGTGATCGACACATCACAATATACCACGAAATCCTCAACACCCTCCGATAGGTTCAAAATCGGTGCCTCACACAAGCTCTGTCTCAGGGTCTCAAAAGCTGCCTGCTGCTCACGTCCCCAACGAAAAGTGAATGTCTTCTTCGTTAACCGAGTAAGAGGAACCGCTATCTTGGAGAAATCCTGAATGAACCTCCGAAAGTAACCTACCAACCTAAGGAAATTCTGAATCTTAGATGAAGACCATGGAACCTCCCATCTAATCACGGACTCGACCTTGGTCAGGTCGACCAGAATATCGTTTTGGTTGACAAGGTGCCCCATAAACTGCACCCCGCGCAACCATAAGTCAACACTTGGAGAAATTTGCATAAAGTCTCTCCTTCTTCAAAATCTCTATTACCCCCTCAAGTGCTCCTCATGCAGCTCCTGGGTCTTGGAATGGACCAGGATATCATTAATGAATACAATCACAGACCAATCCAACATCAGTTTGCATACG